GTAAATTGTGCAAAATTTAAATTAGTCTTTTTAAATATTTTAATTCAAAAATATTTTTAAAAATAAATATGCATATTATTTATTTTTTCAATTTTAATGATATTATTAATATATATGTACAAGATAATAATTAAATTGTAATTAACATTAAAATTTAACACTATTACTGATTGATTTAATTTTTTTTTTCTATTTTGTGTATTTTTTTTATTGAAATCTATTTTTTTATATTGAAACGAAAATATATATATTTGCAAATCTTATATTTTATATTCTTTGTTGTGAATATTATAAATATACATAAATTATTATATAAATATATTGAATTGTTATAACAACAATTTTAGAATTATAAAAAATATGAAATTTGAAACTTGAAACAACATTTATATAAAAACTGAAAAATATATGACAGAACTTGATATATTTCTATCACCAAAGTTTAACATGTTTTTAATGTAAAATTAATATAAAGTATAATATAAACTTTGATATATTTTTTATATATATCTTTTCAATTCATTAACATAACTTATAATCAAATCTTGTATTTTATATATAATATTTTATAGCATTTGAAGAAAAATATATAGGAATTCATCAAAAAAAGCAAAAAAAAAGAAAAAAGTTTGAAAAAAAAATAACGTATTAGATTAGAAAAGACATTGATTAAAGACAATTTATACCAAAGATTTCAAAAATCTAGCGAAGAAAAATAATGGAAATAAGAAAAATTATGGAACATTATTTCCTCAAGAGGAAAAAAATGCTATTTTTTTATAATTGTAAAAAATAAATTCACAATTCATATTAAATGTTAAAGGATATTATTTTATAAAGAAAATACATCAGAAAACAATGAAAAGAATAACATAAAAACCAATATATATTAAAGTAGTTATTATATTTCAAAATGTTTGTTTATAGTATTAGCATATATATTATTTATATATTATATATTGTTTATGGTTTATAAGTATATATATTTATATGAACATTTTGTTACAGACAATAATATATAAAATAAACATAAAATGTGAAAATTGCAAGTGCTCAGATAATATTATATTTATTTATAAATGTGTTACATACAGTATGTTCATTTTAATATTTATTCATGATTATTTCTGAATATTAAAAATAAAAAAAAAGTGAAAAAGTGTTTCAAATGAAAATTATATGATATCTCAGATATAATGATAACACATGATAATTGTTTGAAATAATGGAAAAAACTCTATAGAAGTTATAATAAATTTTTTACATAAAATCCATATTATTGTATATTTTTATAACTAATATTAAAATATTTAAAATGCTATTTGTATATTTTTCATAAATCAATATTGAATTGTTAATTTTTAAATTTTCCATTGGCATTAACATTACATTGTGGAGATTGCTTGATTGAATTTTATATATTATGATGATTCTAAAAAAAATTGATTGAATATTTATATCAATATCGAATTATAAGAAATACAATACAATAAACAAGAAATATGTAATTCCAACAAGATAGTACAGACTTACATTTCATATAATAAAGAATGATTAAATGAAAATTTTTAAAATAAATGAAACGTGGCAGATCAAAATTTTATTTTTAAAATTTTAAATACGCTTATTATAACATTTTAAAAATTATAATATTTGATTAATATATATATATATAATTATAATTTTAAAAAAATTGAAATATTGATAATATTCAATCTATATTTATATCCTTTATTTAAATTTAAATAAAATAATAATAACAATATATGGTTATCTAAAGAAAAATTATTTATTTTATAATATTTATTATTTATAATATAATTATTGATTAAAATAAAATAGTTTAGATAAGTTTATTTTTTAAAAATTTAAATTTTTTTTAAATTTATTTTTTTTAAATTTAAAGATGAAATAAAATATGAAATGTATTTCTATATAATTATATATTTTTAATGAATAAAAATTTAAAGTACAAAGTTTTTCAACAGAATTTAAACTACATTTTTATCATTTTTTTTATAATTTTCTAAACATTTATATCATTATTAGTATAATTATTTAAAAATTATTTCTAGAAAAATATATAACCTCATTTTTGTATCACATATTTGATGCAATATTTATTTTGAATTATCTTTTGTTAAATTTATAAGTGATATTACATTTTTCTTTGTTACTTAAATTTAAAGCATTGTTCTTATACAGAGTGTTATATTATTCCAAAAATGTTATAACATCTGTAAATTGAAGATTCCTCACATAACAACATTTTATCTTTGCAAAAACTTTCGTTACGCTTTATTAACCAATTATTAACAAAAACACTGGCCAATCACGAAGCGTATAGCCCAATCGACCATGAAACAGTGATGTTGACATGCCACTAAGTATAAATAAATCTAAGCAATATATGTCGTAGAAAGTATATTGAATATGAGATATAGGAATATAAATATTATATGAAGAAAAAAAAATAATATTCAATTCATTTTC